TTAAATGATGGGGTGGACGAGAAAATAGAGAGGAGACCAAGTAGGCCATTATTGGATATGCAGAGAGCCGATCTAGGCGATACTTTAGATCACGTTGAATCTGAAGACTATTGATTGCATACTCAATAGCATCCATATACATGCTCCAGTAGGAAGCAATGTCATTAGATGTTTCCCAGTGTAGATATTGACGACATTCCCTACAAATACATATAATTTAATAAGAATCAATTATTTTTTGCCAATAAGTATACATACTAGATATATAAGTATAACATACCAGACACGATGATGCACTGCATCAATATTTACTAATGCACTTGCAGTAGACATGCGAAGCTCTAACCGAGCACCCCAATTTCGGTTGCTAATTCCGATACATGAATCTTGGATAAAGCGCTAAGTAGAATCATTTAAGTTATTTCAGTATATACATTCAAAGTAATTATATTCTAATAATCATAATGATAATACCTTATAAGCTCTCAAGGGTTGCCCCCCATTAATGAGCAGCTCTGGTTTGCAATCAATTCCAAAGCGGTAGTTATCTTGTCCAGGGTTGTAAAATGGTTGCTTTATCTTGTGGTATGCAACAATTTTTTTTATGCCTTGCATTGACTGTTCTTGTGGCAAAGACTGTCCTTTTACAGTATATTGAAAGCCTGATAGAGACTTCCAATTTGATAAAGGGTCATGCCTATAGTTACTTTTTGTCAATGTAACATCTCCGAGGAAGCGCCGTATGAAGTCTGCATGACCACCGAATGCACAGTCACTACCAGTAGCACTCCATAACCCAACTAAAGGGGTATGTGATACTAGATGAAACTCGAACCCTAAGTCAATCGTTGAGTCCCGAGGATTAACTGTATACCAATTAATATCCGAAAATGAACTGCCAAGGTCCAAGTGAAGGTCTTCATATGGATGCTTTAACCCTATTCCTTTGGTATAAAAGAAAAAGCCTTGAAACCGAGCTACCCTCCGATCTTGGCTACTACTAGTAATCGACCTCATAGTCTCACATAATTGCTGGCAATGTACTGGAGGGATATATGTACCATACAGATTATGATGACCTCTACAATTCTGCAGCCTATACCCATCAGTATGATATGAGATACCAAAGTTATTACAAATGAATGCAGGTAAGCATTGGTGCATCGCAGGACAGAGAACAAGGTCTACAAAGTCTGAGATAACCTCTGTAGTAATCTCTTTACTAGATGTCAATGACATATTATCACCATATAGTCTTGGAAAGTAGATTGAGGTCTACACAATATTGATATTAATATCTACATTCACTATTGATAGAAATATAAGATGTTGTAAAACATTTTACTATACCTTGAACCTATTATTGTATCCAAACTCTGACCAAGTAATAGGTATGGAACTTTGTTTAAAGGAATGGATTTTCCACGTCGAGACCCTTGGTTAACAATGTAACTCATCGTTACTGTTTGTTTGATCTTGTATTTATGCGGACGAAGGGTTATTGAAAATGGACCGGCTGCAGGTATTATTTTTGTCTGGAAATCCATTGAGTCAATATTATAATGGAAATTCAGGTCTACTTGGCGGCTATTAGATAGTTTAACAGCAACCAGTAGGTTGTCCTCATCTTCAACAACAATGCCCGCAAACATTGCCTCTAGGAGTGCATATTCATCGAGCCCTTGGCATAGTCGAACAAATGTATTGAACGTTACAACCCGGTTTACTATATAATTAATAGCTATATATATTAGTATAATATATCTATTAATGACAGCATAATATAATATATAATAACGTACAGTTTCGTATGTCCAAAATTCGCTCTTGGAACTGCATGTGTAGATTTTCTGGTTGATACCGATACATCGAGTTACGAATAACAGTAGTTGCTTCTTCATCTTCTAACTCATTTTCTTCAGATTCATCACTATCTTCATCAGTACTACTAAAGATATAATCTGAATCACTATCTGACTTGGAATCAGAATTTGAGCTTAGTGAGCTGCTACTACTAGAGCCACTACCAGAACTATGAGAATTGGAGTCGCTACTCGAGTGAGAATCTAAATAAAACAAAAACGTTAGAGATGTCTTAGAGTATACTACATTCAGTTTTAGATCATTAGTCAATACTAACTGTCTAAATTATCACCATGGATAGTAACAAATTGACCACCTAGTGGTCTCATAAATCGTATGGTATCTGCAGCAAAATCAAAAGCTACCAACAATAAGACAAATGAGCTATTAGTATTAGTAAATGTGCTAATCCGATTATATCTTTGATTAAAATAGTAATTCTTACCAAATGGGTCTACAACTAGTGGTAGTGAATGCTGTGACGGATGTACTGTATTCTCATTCTAGCTAGAAATAGTAATATTATCTATTCCTATGTCTAATGAGTGTGTTGAAGATTGTCTTTCAAGGATGGGTTGAGCCTGTAATGATGTCTCAGACCCTAAACAGCGGCGTTCACCTAATAGAAACATTATGTAGGAACATATATTAAAACCCTTAAATATATAGATGGTATAAGCTAAACTTACTAGGTCGTTCATCACTAAGATGTTCTTCATTCCCACGTTCTCTTATCGATTGGTAAAGATTATTGGGTAAACGCCTTATCATCCTAGTAGATGGAGTAGCACTTATTACTTGGCTGTAGGCTACATTGACATTGCTATCAAATGTACCATCAGATACTGGTCTACGTGCAAGGATTATAGAGTAATATTTAGCTTGAATAGTTTCTTGAAATTAAAAGTAGAGTGGTGCCTTTTTTTAAGGATATAGAATTATGAGCTTACATAAACGAATAGGGCGGGTTGGTCTAATATATTGTCGCAGAGGTGTATTAGAATGTTGCCCACTACTACTAGAAGAGCCTTGACTTGTACAATACATCGGAAAACTCTTTAGTATTTCTACCAACTAAGGTTTATATATGTAGAGAAGTAGAGGTAGTTGATAAATGGAGGTTAAGCTATAGATGGCCACGTTAAAGACCAGTTCTGCTATAGCAACAACAAGATATGTAGAGGTAAAGGTTATAGATGCAGTGATTTTCAAATATAGATAGCCACGTTGAAGACCAGTTCTGCTATAGTATCAAGAATTTATATAGGGATAGAGGTAGAGATAGTAGATAGATAGATTTTCATCTATAGATGGCCACATTGAAGACCAGCTCTGCTATAGCAAGTGAATTTGTTTGACCACGTTTGAGTGAGGTTTGGTCTAAAAGCTTATATGTAGTTATATGCTGGCAAGGGGTAAAGTTCTGCTTTTCAACAACCTCTCCCCTATATATCCTTGGGGTGGTCCACCGACCTTTCTGCCTAAAAGTTAGTGTAATTTGATAGAGCTCTATCATAGCTTTCATAGGAGCTTTCATACTACTTTAGAAATCGTTGTATCTTTTCAACCAGTGATGCTAGAGCAACATAACTAAGTGTTTTAGAATCAGAAAGCTATAGTTCTATAACAACATTTTAATTTCAAACACTGTACATTCGGTACTCCTTCGCTGTATGAATGCACAGTGTGTACTAAAAGTTTATTTACAAAATTAAACTTCTGGAGGTCATAGAGATATCAAATATATTGAATAAACTACCTCTTTCTTATCTTCTTTTTACTAGTTTGCCGATGTTCTGCTTTATACATATGGCATACCTTAAGAGCAAGCATTTACATATGCTGTTATGCATATATTCTACTAAATTGTGAGTAATAGTACTAATGTAATACTAGGGGTCGTAATTAGACAGGTTGGGTTGGGTCAAGGGTCTAACCAGTTGACCTATAGGTCAAAAAAACACTGACCCGACCTCACCTATTAGACCTGACGGGTCAAAACTCAGGTTAGCGGGTCAAGACTGATTTCGGTATGATGATGAAGGAAGTGTCAATCAATTTGAACTTGAGTACTCGAAGTGCAAAATTCTATATATATATATATATATAGCTCTCCAAGATGATGGCATGCAAATTCCTGGCAGTGCTAGCAACATCTACTTTTAAAGGTAAAGGGTTTTGTACCATCACAAAAGAATTCGCTTGGGCTCACATGTATTACTGTAAAGAAAGCATTATGGTTAAAGTGTGGTTGAAAATCGACTTCCCTATATGCCCCTAATCCTTTTCCTTTTCCCTTTGCTTATCACTTCATCCTTCTACCCTTCGTTTTCTTTTCTCAATTCCTTTTCAGTCTTTTGTCAAATCTCGTCTCTTACTGCCACCCTCTATAGTCCGTTCTCATTGTACTATTGCTACTTCTTTACTCCTTTTAGATATATCGCTTATAGCTTACTTATCCTTTACTCTTAAATATAAAATATAATCCCACAATAAAAAGAATTTAAGTCCATTTTATGTTATAGCTCTATAGCAGACATATTGACAACTACATCCTATAATATAATGATGCTTCCCAATAAGAAGATTAACTACTTGAATACAAGTACCTTATACATATTATATGTATATACGGGTCACAATGAGTCAATGGGTTGAGTCAACGGTTAGACGGGCTGACACGTAGGTCAGAAAAGCATCAAACCCGACCCATAGACCTGTCCTCAACCTGTAGGTCAGATTGCGACCCCTATGTAATACTACTCAATCCTTTGACTTTGCTATTACCATCCACATTCTCTTCTAAATGACAATGCTACTGCTATTCACATCCTCTTTTATAGTTTAAAAATAGGGTGTAGTTATACTAGTCTCACTGCATAGTAATAGTTTTTGAACAAAAGAATGATTTTTATGTCTAGTTTTACTTTAAAGCTTAATAAAACTGAATATTGCTCGCTAAAAAAAATAGCGGCTGCAGGAATCGGACCTGCGCCTTCCAAAGCCTCAACCGGAATGGGGAGACGCCTTAGTCCACTCGACGATGGCAACATACTAATACATTTCAGCCATTGCATTACTGCTATACCGCACAATTATAAGAAGGGGTGTGACTGCCATACTTCTGGAGTGTATGTTTAGACCAAAAATAAACTCACAAAAATAGTTTTCTATATAAGGCAGCTTCAGTGGCTATGTGACTGCTATTGCCGTTTTAGTATGTTGTTGCTATATATGGTAGGTATATGTACTGCAATTTCTAGTGCTTTAGCTACAATATTGCACCTTCTAGAGGTCTTAATTCACCTTAAATAAAGCCACTTTCAGTGATTTTTATACATCCTCATATGTAATGTCTAAAATAAGCAATGTGACTGTCTTTTATAAAAACATATTTAGATGTATATGCATCATATATATATACCTACAAAGTTTCATAGCAATAGCAATAATAATAGATGAGCTATGGTACATGAAAGGAGAGATACTTAAGGATGGATTAACTAAAAAACACCTATATACTATGCATGAGTCGTTTGGTGCATTCAAAGCTTCTGTCATCCATTTCAATGTAGCCTTGCGCTTGTCATTCCCTGCGTCTTCGATTATGTACTTGAGGTTCTCGCGCACAGTGCATGCTCGGATTACATTGAAGCTGGTACCAAGGCAAATGGATAACTCTTTCTCCATACTAACAGGCAAGGTGGCAGTCAAGCAAATCAAAGGTACTTGCACAGTACGCAACCATAATAGTTGATGCATTGATTGGCGGTAATCGGCAGACTGAACAGCAAGATGAGCTTCGTCTAAAACGACCCGGGAAATCTTTCCACTGCTATGCGCAAGTCGAAGAAAAGCAGCAAAACGACTAGTCGCAGCCTGTTTGATGGAAACCAATAGAAGCCTCGGTAGATGTTGTACTGCTGACATGCTGTTTGTGTACTCGCCACATGAGACATTTAGGTCTTTGACGCGTTTGATGACGTCTGCTGCAAGGGCAACGAGAGGCAGAACAAGAACCGTCGTTTGATTTTCCTTCATTAGCGGCGCAAGGTATACCGATGTTTTTCCACCACCAGTCGGAAAAGCAACCAAAAGATCATTCTGTCCGAGTAAAGCATGTTGAATTGCGACTGCTTGTGCCGAAGACTTGAACGATGCCATAGGCGCATTCAATGACAGCCGTAACGCTTCTAAAGCCTGTAGACCGACGTCTATGCAATAAGAAAAGCATACATAAATATAACAGTTCTCATACAAAACAACATCTTTTACACACATACACATATATACATATATGATAACATTAAGAAAGAATATATTATACATACTATTGTCAGCCACGTCTGTACAATCCAGAGACAGATCCGGTGCTGGCGGCGTATTCACCAAGCGCCGTACTGTATTCTCGATTGATAGCTGCTGTTGAAACTGCAACAATGCGACTCGTTCACAGATAGCCTGGTTCTCTCGATGATATGCAGCCACAGCTAGATCTTGTTTTGAGGCGGCTGTTCGCATTGCTTCCGTCACTGCAGAGAAATCATAAATGCCTGGTCCGACACCTATAAAATATGTAAAACGGATATGTAAATATAAGTATAAAATTTCGATATGAGGATAACACATATGTGCGATAAAAATGAAGCAAAAAATGACACCAAAAGCAAACATACCCAGCAAATCCTGCCACTTTGCAGACAAATGATAATATTCGAAGGCAGTTGTTGCATCAAGATGTCGTGGGTCCTGATCGGAACGCGAGTAAAACCGACCAGCAACTTCGCTGCTATGACCGGCTTGAAGGTCAGCCAGAGTACTGTCTATAGTCGGTAATTTCACGATATGTTGTCTTGCGAAGGCGATGGATATATGCCGGTACTGTTGCCATGTAACGCGGTAACCTAACTCCGTATTCCATATTCTTGAAAAGGTACCTCGTAAGACATCAGGTGACACCGGTTCTCCATGGCGTATTACAAGAGTAGAGCTGGTAACAAAGGATATGATTTCATCGGGAGACGTATGGACGTGTCCAACAAACATACTATTACAAAAAGTTGAGGAATGAGTAAAGGTTCACCAATGTATATTTTGATATTTGATGTATGGTATATGATAAACATGATGACTACTGACCTTTCGATAGGTTTCACAAAAACCAAGTACTTGACAAATGCGCGCGATAAGATAGGAGGTAAGAACCTGGCAACGATTTGATCAAGACCTTTTAGTTCGCGAGTCTTTTGATAATGAGTGACGATCATGATAGACTGGTATGCATTTGACCAATATAAACGGCGGTCGGCGTCGTGCGTGTTTCTTGTTAGTAGCGTAGCGATCTCTGAACATCGCGCTGTCTGCCCATATGTCATATGCATCACGACGAAAAGAAGCATTTGCAAACGCTCAACCCTCTTGATGTATGTTGTAATAGCGGCTCTGTTCCAGTCCACGTCGACACCATCGATACCGTCGATGTATGTTTCGTGTAATTTGGGATCGTTCAATATTTTACACAATACATACTGATAATGGCTGTGCAGGTCGTTGCACTCGTCGTACACGAATGAATACCCGATTGTGGTATTGTTCGGCTCATCATACAGAGCAAGGTAGGAGTTGTTACTGATGCCCAATATCACATCGAGACTGATACCGTGTGTCAGCATGGCTATTTCGTTTTCAATTTTCTTCATAATGCTACTAGCAAGATGTGATATATGATGGAGCTTGACAGTTTCACACGAGTCAGCCAAAGTCAACTCGGTAAAGTTTCCTTTTGTGGACCAGAATATGTAAGGCAAGCAGGAATCATTTGCTACTGATGTCGATGCAAGACGGCTTATTTCAACAAGTGCACCAAATGGAGTTGCATGGGCATCCATGAGGAAAGGAGCATACGTTTGTTCGAGTCTTCAGAAAAACAATAGTTAAGTTACTGTAAACGTCATGGAATATTTGTTTATGATAAAAAAATGTATATAGACATGGATACTTACTTCTCTAAAGCATGATCGACTTCGGACGGCTGCATGATGTCACATAAGACCACGAGTCGTAACTAATACTTCAATTTTGCGATGACCGGGGTTATATCACGGGTAGGAACAAACTTGCCAGTGTAATCCAATGAGTTGATTATGAGGAACCGTATGAGCACGTAGCCAGAGGGAGGGGTGTTTAGCAGCTTTTTTTCTATGAGCGCGATCAACATCATTTTGTGAATTAACCGTCGTGCACTGGTATACTGCCGTTCCACATCTGGTCTTTTCGTTTCAGCGGTGGCAACAAGGACAAGAGATTCAACAAGATTTGTAATTGCGATAGGCGGAGAAAGCAAATACAATGACTTGTTATGCCTGGATCGGATCAAGAACAATATGAAATGTACACCAGTAGTAGCATACTTGTGGACGCTACCATCGCCTCCTAGTTTCTGGAAACCAACCTTGGGCACTCGTTCCTGCGCACTTGTGAGCATATATTGGACGAAGAGGCGATGTTAGTCATTCAGACAAGAAGAATACAAAATAACAATATCAAATGAGAAAAGAAATTACAGTATACATACACGTCATGCATCAGTAAGCGCCGGATAAAGTAGTCCATCGAATCAATATTATTGTGCATACAGTCAAATTACAATCGCACGGCCTTTATAACGTATTGCAGTATAGCGTCGCCTGTATCAACTGGTTTCATAAGGTCGACCAGGTCTTGCATAGTCGCACCTATGAGAGAAACAAATTATATCAGAGCTTTTAGTATAGAATTCATTATTCAAAGGCGCAATATCATGACTAATTGAAGCAAACGGTTTTTTATCATTACCAGTAGAGCACCAATCGGCGACATAATGATTCCACTTGAGATGAGAATAAAACCAGCTTAGAAGGCGGTTGTCGCTGGTGATGGGCCTTCCTTCATCTGCAGTCGGTGGAGCAATGGAAGATCCAACATTCATGATTACTTGTTGCATAACTGGTGCTAACTCGTCTGAGACGTTACCACAATCGTCGTTACCACACGTGTCAACATTCATCACGACCGTTGTGTCGTCCGCGCCATAGCATTCCTTCGTGTGCTGGTGCAAGTTGCTTATAGATGCTGCTGTATATGTAGCGGTACAGTGTATACAATGAAAAAGGTCGTCAGCGCCCCGTTCAATCACAATTTTCTCACCTATAAAACACAACAAAGCTAAGCATTTGAAATTATTAGAGAGCAATATTAGCTTACTGTTCACTTTTAAACAAGGAAGGAAACAACAATATATAGCATGACACAAAAAAAAATGAAAAAGACTTACCATCGGGATACGTGACAGTTGCATTCTTCTGATGGGCGATACGAACATGACGTTCACGATCGTATTCGCTAGGAAACAGAGCACCACATCCAGCATGGCTACATTCAAATATACGCATATCAATAGGTGAGATGGGCGAGTTGGACATTGTAAAGAATAAGGATGTTATAAAGCGAAGCAGATAAGCGATGATAAAATGTAATAAAGTATAATTAGCAAATTATGGCTTCATGACCGCGGCCTTTTATACTTTTTTTTTCTTTTTACAACAATGAGTAGAAGTCTCTATGTACTATGACAGTTCCATACAACGGCTTATCAAGAAAGCGGCGATTACAAAGCAACGGGACGATTAGAAATAGAGGATCAGCTAGAAGCAAAAGTGGATTAGCGATAGCTATTATCGATAAACTGTAATCTAATGACATCATTTCTCCTTTTTTTAGGAAAATAAGGGTAGAGGCGAATATGTGATGAGAAGTTGAATAGTAATTGATATGATCAACCATTAATTGTAATTCAGTTAGCATGAAAAACAAATGAGAGAGGTTCGCCTAATGAGTCTAATAGTAGATATAGTCGACATACCATGAAACCAATAGTATCATAGCTGCAGTTTGTTTATTTGGGAAAATGGATGCAGTGAGCTTTTGAAAAAAAGGGTCGATCACAAAAGAGAGTCGATTAGTAATAAGAACGCTTGCAAATTGTGAATTGATTAGTAACAAGTTTTTACAGGAAAGGGTCCAGAAAAAAAAGTAGGGTCCAGTTGAAAAAAGGGGTCAACAACTTGTGACAAATTTATGGGAATAAAGGGTCTGTGTGAAAAAGGGGTTTGTACAAAAAAAGGGTCGGCTAATATCAGACATGATCAACAAACTATTTATTATTGACAACATAGCAGCAACTGTTATACAACACAAGTTCGGTATTTTCCCATAAGATTTGCGCCTTTCACTTTTCAGGGTGGCGTCGTTTACAATGTAAAATATACAGCAATGGGCCACCAAGTAAAAAAAAACATAACTCGCGTAGATAAACGACAGCACCTGGACCACTTTGCGGCTGGACCTTTTTTTTTAGTTCATCGCTTTCAATCTCATATAATGCAATTTACAACGCAAATTATTGTATCAATGTATACAAATCGAGTTGGTCTTGCATTTTTTAGAGCAAATGTATGTCATATTTTACATGGGTAAAGGATCACGCAGCAGCAGTATAGGGTACCTCTCTGAACAACGCGTCATTCTGATTTATAAGCTGATATGAGGACCACTGTGCGGTAGTTTGGTCGATCAGCATATATATTATGCCTTTTCCAAGCACGTATACAAGTAAGGCAATACAATCATAGTGATTATATTTACTTTTGTTGACTGTCAGCAGTAGTATTATAGTATCAAGCTCTTGTTTGCTTCCTCATTTACAATGATTTGAATCGCAATATCAATGAAGCTAAGCATCATGATCAGCAGTGAAATCAACAACGTCATATAAACATTGTGGTAATTGTAGACTGGATTCACATCAAAGAAAACAACAACGTCATAAAGTTACTGTAATAAGTTTAGACGTAGACAACAACAACAACGATAAAGAGATTGGTCTAATTACGCCATCGTAATGTATATCGATTCTTACATATAAGAGTGAATATGTAATAACCATTACAAATTACAATAATAAAGCTTATAGTATAGAAGTACTACATCGTACGATACTGTTTTATGCGCTTCTTACTAATGCCACATACAACATAGCATGTGCACGATTCGGTAGTTTGCTTGGTACAGAAAAAATATGCAATTGGTACTGAGCTATTTTTGCTTGTACTTTTATGTTCTTTATACGGATAGGTGCACATGAAGATGGCGAGACCAGATTCAGACAACATCAACAAGATACTAATTATTCAATTAGATCAATTGCATCATTTCATTGATCTCATGAAGGATATGGATATCTCTGTTGAGTAAAAAGCAATTATCAACTTTTTGAATAATTACATATCAACTTGTTCTGTGTATAAAGATGCAAAGATTGTAGCGGTAATGATGTAGTTGTATATATGCATTTAACCTTATATTGATGTGGAAAAAGCCGAATGATATCATCTATAGTAGATCTTATAACAGCGATCAACATGAGGTACTGATTATTCTTCACATTAGTTATTTCGATAACGACATCATTATATCGATTCTTTCTGCTACATATATAGCATTTAATATGGTGGTACGCTTCAACATACTGCTGCGGTATAACTATTATACAGTATCCAGGCGATTGCCGTTTTGTTTGAGCTGGTCTATTAAAAGAATTGGTTGAAAGGTATGTATCATATTTCACAAGAGATGTTTGCAAAAATGACTATATGCAAAAAAACCATGACGAAAGTTGGACTGAAAATTGAGTATAGATAGATGCTACCATTTTTTTATGGGAGGGGGCCAGTGTTTTGAATAAAATCATTACAATTTGCAACAGTGAATCTTTATTCTTTGACGAAGTGTTCATCGTCAACAACAATGATACTCAATTTACAGTAGATGCCATCGTCAAAATGATCCAAGATTGCAAATCAAAATGAATTCAGAGCGCTACTATGAAAGATATGAAGTACGGAGAATTGAGAATTTGTTTTATACGTAGATGTATAATATAAAGATATATGTTAAGCACTGCTCTCGACGCAACTTACTGCATTATTTCTTTTTTTCAGGAGCATCGAACAATAATGAAATGGCCAACAAGGCATTGACGATGACGATTACGTTGGCCAAAACTTTAACTGCTAGTAATGTTGGTAGAGGAGGGAAAAGGTACTGGAAGTATTGTCGGTCACTGCTAGTTGACACACAGATATATAGATTTAGCATTCACATTTTTTCTCCTTGAGTGCAAGCATTATTCAACTAGTTTGACAATTGCAATTGGCAAGATCGTGAAAGGGGCTCTTATTCCAAACAGCAATACCGAAAGTGAGAATGAAAATTCTGTAATACTATCATAATATGTATTATTGCTATTCTAACTTTCCTAATGTTTATTTTACTGTGCATCCATTTTTTTCATTTGAATGACATTGGCGTTATATGACGGACGCAGATTGTCAAAAACAGAAGAATGCTCTTAGAATAATAATTACATGCGTTTATTTCTCATCCTCGCTGATCAATAAAGAAACCGTGTATTGATAAATGTGAAAGGAGGTTTTATTGAGAGAGAGCCTAATACCCTTTTGTAACGCTATGAAAGAGCTGGTTTGGTGATGTTGACGGTATATAAAAATTGTTCTACTCTGCTTTATCTATTGGTAATAGAAGGTGTCGTGGTATTAGTTATGCTTGGGACTTTGACCGCTTTTACAATTCCTGCAATCACAATTATGTTTGTAGTTAGTTATTCTGCAATGGTCGATTGGGATCTTACTTTTGGCATGCTGTATACATTGACACAATGAAATAGGTAAAAACGTCTGTCCCTTAAGTCGCAGTATTTCAATAGCAGCAATTACGAATGCAGTGTATGGCTTTCAAATTTAATATCATGAACGGTGGTGTACGTCGTCAATTAGATCAAGGAGCACGGATAAGCTGTGAATAAAGACTAACCACATTGACTGTTTCAAATTCAAAGTATATACTTATATAATATGTTACAGTATACTTCTATATCGTTATGTACATGCTGTCGTTTCATTGAGCACGAATAGCGATAAATCCGCTGGAGAAATGCTGTTATATATACATTACATTCACGACAGCATAATATTGATATTATTGGCACAAGGTGTATAACCCTCTTATAGAAATCATCTATCATACATAGTCTACTATAAATTGTGCTTATGCACCGTTTATCTACATAGTGTATGGTGCCCGTTACCTAGAAACGTAAATTTTTGGACCAATTTTTGATGTTTTATTTCAGCTTTTTTCACTTATACAACCTACTTTTTTGGCTTCATAGAACGATAGAGAGAGGCTCAAAGAGCAATTCTATGAAGCGTTTATATTTACTTACAGGCAAAAAAAATTGAGAAATAAAGCGTCGAAGTTGGGGTAGATTCGAAAATTTAGCAGAGGATTTTGTCAGAATGTCCACCCCACCATACACTAGTGTATGACATTGAATCGGCGATCTCCATATTAGGAAGGTAGTGTAACATTAGTGATAAGCGCCGGTGCAATATATACCTCAGCCTTCCAATCAACATTGACTGTAATGGTGCCATGTAAATTATAAGTAGGATGACAAAGTTTTATTGTTCCTTCTTCTTCCAAAACATTCCATACAATGGGGAGACTCAACAAGCGCCAGAAGCACCTTAAAAGCATGCAAGAGTCAAAGAACACACTCAAGTAAATTTCTTGTGCATTTAAAGAGAACTGTCAGGCTTTAAGAATCATTTGAGAGTAGTTTGTTTACATTAAGTCATCCTACCCCTCATTACTAGCGTTAATGAGCCTACTTGGGTACCACTTGTGGATAACGTGAACGAAAGTGAATACAATGAGCTTTTCGATTTCGACGATGAAATGTGGGAGGATACTGCCGAAAGTACCAATCAAGACGCTGCTGATGCAGAGGACTGGCAGCTGCTTGGAGTTTCTGCAACAACCTTAGTAGATTCTGCCACCAATTTGAGTCTTGAGTGGAGAGATGGTGCTGATGACTACCTTCCAGACTATAGAGGTGTGATTGACTTATTTCTTCTAGTTTGTTTGTTGACTGTTTTATCTTCTTACTGCAGTCGTTTCCAAATACAAGAAATGGCAAAAAAACTGCACAGCGCCGTCGTAGAAATGCAAGAGAGCTCGCTGCATCGGGTAAAAAGCATCGAAAAATAACAGAGTTCTTTGCTGCGTCATCGACCACTGATCCATCGTCATTGTCAGCTGCAGATGAAGTCTTGATCGTTCTCGAAGATCAATCGCTAATGAAGGAGAGACATGCGGCTTTGCAACAACTGATGCAGACCAGCAAAAACCAGCAGTCGCCATCAGGCCAAATGAAGCCATACGATGTCCTATGGTACAATTGTGTCTTGCAATTCCTGGGATATCTAATCGAGCACCAAGGCCAAAAGAAACAGAAAATCGTCGAATCTGAAAGAATTGCGAAACAATTAGGTGGTGGTTC